TTCACATCAATAATCAAATATGACCAAATCATTTACAATACTTACATATTTGGTTTTGGCTTATTTCAACACATTTCTTCTAGTATTGATTATTTTACCTATTGGCATTCATATTGGTCGTTCGAAAGAAATACATAAGATGAATATTCAATTCAATTCATTTATATCAAATCGATCTTTAATATATGATTATATTAATGTGAACTGTCCTGAAGTAATGATTCACTATCCGATATTTGAACAATTTTCAAAAATTCAATTATGTACAAACTATGACATTTCTATGAAATTTGGAAAATTTGTTGGCATATTATCGACATTCTATGATATATTTTTATCATTTATATTTTATGGTTCATCATTGGGTCCAGTTCTAATGATGTTCATCACATTAATTATAATTTTCTATATGAATTTTATAAGTGATGTGTTAATAATAATGCTATTAGAAACTAGTCTGATATTAGTTGGCTATTTAATGATATTTATTCATTGCATTGCACCAAAACTTAATCAAAACATTGTAAATTGTTGTTTAAAAATGGAACGATGGTTTACTATTAAGATTAAGGAATCTATTGATGATAATTTTCATGTTGTACATGACAAACATAATGATTGATTGTATTTATTCTTTCTTTCTTTTTCTTTCATCTTCTTTGTTATTGTTATTATGATAAATAAATATATTATTCAATTACTATGTGCAAAAGATATTTAAATTGATTACTATATATTTGTATTTATTCCTAGATCTTCAAAAACATAATTAGTTTTCGAAATAATTTGTAATATGATTAAATTTAATTTAATCTTTGTTTAACACTATTCAAATAAAAAGAAAAACAAAAACTGTTTAGCAATATTTCATCGACATGCATAACATTATTGACAGGATCATCATTATTATTTCGATCATTATATTGGTTAATGAAAAATCTATTGAAATAATTATTAGTATTAATAATAATTATCTATCTATTTGTTTGTTCTTATTATATAATATCATACATTAATATGTTAGTATTTCAATAAATATAATAGATATTTATTTATTGAGTTCTAAAATTCTAATGATTTTTTTTTTGTTTTAATTAATGATGAATTTATCATCAATAAAGAATATATTGAACTCTGTATCTTTGAATAAAAAAAGAAAACAATCTTATGAAATATTCTTTATTTTATCGTGTTAATATGTTTATTGTACAAAAGATAATACTATATATTAGTATTAATCTTTTTATTTTATGATTTTATTAACAATAGATATATTTATTTAAATAATTCTAAATAAAAACATCCTATTTCTCTAATCATCTAGAATGTGATTGACTATTCCTTAGATATCAATTAACTAATATATAAAATTTGTCATGATAGTTAATAATGATTATTGTATAGAAAATAATAAATTTCTATTATATGAATTTTTTTATTGATTGACTGTTACAATGAAAAATATCAGAAATATAAATGATGTATTTTATAAATAAATAATCGTTCATTCAATGCATATTAAACAATTCAATTCATTTAGATAATTAAATTTTATTTTTTAAATTAATTATTTCTAACGATTATTAGTTATTTATTGTTGAGTATTTGATAATGAATTACTAAATAAGAAACATATTTTTATAGATTCATTACAATTAAAATCAAAATATTTTCATGAGAATTCATTTATTTTCTTAATAATAAATATTGTTTATACAGTTTAATTAAATAAATATAAAAGATCAAAATATTTTATTTTTATTGATAGATGTTGATATTATTCTTATTAAATCTATATTATTAGAAAAATGAATTATTTTCTAGATCAATGATAAAGTAGTAGATTATTATTAATAGTTCATTCTCTGTTAGTTTATGTTCATTTGTAACTACATTTATTATTTCAAAAGTTATTAGAATAAATGAAGAAATTCTATTACTATTTGTTGATATAGTTATTTGAATATGTTAACAAAAGAACATCATTTGGAAAATTTAAATTGAAGAAAGTTCTTTTGGATAATTAAAATTTTAAAATAAGAAAACTTTTTGTTTTTTAAAAACCAATATCTATTATTTTCTTATACAGTTAAATGAAATTATATTCAAAAATCATCTTCATCATCAACCATTTCTTTTGCATACTCTAATTTTTCTTGTTTAAGTTCTCATTGTTCTTTTAAAAACAAACAACAAAACTAAAATTTCACCTTTTAAAAAGAATATTTTTATTAATAATCGGCTTATATATGTTGTTTCTAATTCTTCATTTTATATATACATATATACATAGTGTTCTTTGTTTTTTTATTTTTTGTCAGTAGATAACGTCTAACTTTAACAACTTCATTTATGTATTTTAAAACAAAATTCAATATGTTGATCAAATGTATTTATTGGTTCATGTGTTATATAATTATCAATAATTTCACATGATTGATAATTGCTACATTTGCATCATCATGAATAACCTATATAATAAAAAAAAAATAAAAAACCAATTGTTAAAATTAAAATATTCAGTAAATCTTCTATTATATATGAATGTAAAACTTACTTTAACTAAAATCTATTGAGCATGTATTCAAGTGAATTAAGTTGTAATTATTGATCAATATTACTAAAAAATATTTTTCTATAGGATAAACTAATCATTATTTTAATTCTGACTTTGATAATGTTATGTCGTAATTTATAAAGATTTCGAAATGAAAACAATAATTAATAAACCAAGTAATAAGTGACCAGGTTGTTTTTTCAATTGAAAATGATTAGCAAATATCTCAAGAATTTTTTAAAATCAACTTATATTATTTGTACAAACAAGTAAAACAAAAAAAAAAAGAAAAAAATTATTCTCAAACAATCAAACTTATTTGCTTCTTAATGGATGCGTCAGAATAAATGGAACTCTCAGTATTTTTGAAATAACTTCTTTATTTTTCATTTTCTATATTTCAAGTTTTTTCCCAAACATTCGCCATTGAATTGTCTACATAATTTGTATCACAAGTTTTTTTGTCGAAAGTTAAGCGAAAAAAGAAAAGAAGAATATTCAACAGACACAAAAGGAGCAACTTTCAAAGCTGAAAAAGCGTTTTGTTTTTTTCAGATTTTTGTTGTTTCCTATTCATGACAAAAATTAAATAATATAATCATTTTGTTAGCATTCGAAAAGGTCTATCGACTGATCATAATTGGAAAATTTCTACGTTCTTTCTTCTGACATATATCAAGCAATTTCTCTTTCAGATTTTCAAGAATTCAACATTTTCAGTCTGCACTTTCGAAGTTTTCTGGAAAAAGATGAAAAAGTAACCGAAAAAACATTATATGTTGACTTTGAGTTTTTTTGTTTTTGTATTTTCATGAATATTGAACCAGATTCGGAAGTCAAACTTGACCAAAAATTTTCTTCTTCAATTCACTTGACTAAAACTATTTGATTTGAGTCATCTTGAATAACATTTTAAAAATCAAATTTTTTAATCATTTTCAATTTCATTTCAAAGAATTTTGAGCTATTTGACAAGAAAAGACATATTTCAAAGCACTCAAAAACGTTGTCATTTCGTTTTATTATCTGTAGAATTCAATGAAAATGTTCAATTTTGTTTTCTTTTAAATGATTCTAAAAGTTTATTCTTTTATACGTGTTGAATTTTTTTTTTCTTTTCTTTTCTCGCTTAGAAGTGGCACTTTAACTTTACTTTAAAAATTAAAGTTAAAATAAAACACATTAAAACTTTAAACTTTAATTAAAGTGAAACACATTAAAAGTTTAACTTTAAAAAAAAGTTAAAGTTAAAGTACTTGTGCCATGGGTAAGAAATGACCATGCCCAGTTCTCATGGGTTTTCGTCTAGCTACCCTAGCGGGGGTACTTGGATCATCGTATGTCTATCCTAGCAAGGGTACTTGGATCCTCATATGGCTATCCTAGTGGAGATATTTGGGTCCTCAAGAGCTATACTATAGGGATACCCTTAGATCTTCAAGTGTTATACTATAGGAATATCCTTAGGTCTTTAAGACCTTTACTACTACAAGGATACCCTTGAGTTCTCAAGGACTATACTATGAAGGCATCCTTAGGTTCTCAAGTTCTACAATATAAAAGTACTCATAGGTCCTCAACAGCTATACTATAGAGATACCCTTAGGTCTTCAAATACTATATTATCAAGGTATCTTTAGGTTCTCAAGAGCTATATTACGGGGGTAACCTTAGGCCCTCAAGGTCTATACTATAGCCTATAGTATAGACCTTGAAGATCTGAGAGTACTCTCAAAGTATAAGACCTTGAAGACCTAAGGATTCTTCTATAGTATAGCTTTTCAAAGCCTAAAGTACCCCTTTAGTACAGGTCTTGTGACCTAAGACAATCCTTCTAGTATAGCACTTCAGGACCTAAAAGTATCCCTATAGTATAGACCTTGTGGACCTAAGACTACTTCTATAGTATGGCACTTGAGGACCTAAGAATACCCTTATAGTACAAGCCTTGAGACCTAAGGCTATCCTTATAGTATAGCACTTGAGAATCTAAGGACGCTTTTTATAGTATAGGCCTTGAGGACTCAAGGATATCCTTGTAGTACAGGTCTTGAGGACCTAAGGATATCCCTATAGTATAGCTCTTGAAGACCTCAGGGTACCTCCATACTATAGCACTTGAGGATCCAAGTACTTCTCATAGGATAGCCATATAAGGACTCAAGTGCCCCTCCTATGATAGCCATATGAGAACCTGAATACCCCCGCTAGGATAGCCATATGAAGATCCAAGTATCCCTATTAGGGTAGCTAGACGAGGACCCATTAGAACTGGACATAATCGTTTCTTACCCATGGCATAAACACTTTAACTTTAATTTTTTTTTTTTTTAAATTAAAGTTCTAATGTGTTTCACTTTAATTAAAGTTTACAGGTTTAAAGTGTTTTACTTTAAACTTTAATTAAAGTTTGAACTTTTTAAGTGTTCACTTTAATTAAAGTTTAAACTTTAAAATAAAACACTTTAAACTTTAATACTTTTTTAAAGTGTTTTTAAAGTTAAAGTGCCACCTCTAGTCCAAAAATAAAACACATATATATGTTTGTGCAATATTCTATTTGATGAATACATAAAAGTTGACTTCTAAAATTCTAATTCTATTTAATTTTACTATTTTGTATCAAGTTCTTGTTGATATTTTGATAGACTATATAGTAAGATACTTGTTGTGTATCTTAATAGACATATGAGATTTTGCTAAAAGAATACAGATATCTTTGTATAATGAGACAATACAATTGACATGAGTAAATTTCAACTTCTTAATGAACAATATATCAGCCATGAAACTTAGATTTGTTATATGTAACACTTGCAAAATTAGATCAAGCTTTGGTCTTTATTTATATTTCCACTTAAAAATCGATATAAATTTTAACATGTTAATGAAGAAATTTTATCTTTTTTTTAACAGTGAAACCATACTTAAGATTATTTTACAAATATAACAATTTATTTATATTAATCTCTTTCTAATAAAAAAAAAAAAAAAAAAAAAAGAAACATACATGAGATATCAATTTAAAAAATATATATTTTTTATGTATTTTCACGATTCAAAAG